GAAATATAGATATATTTGGAATATATACTACATATATCATTTAAAATATCAGAGGAGATAAATTTCATAGCCTACATGTCTTGATAATGAATATCATTGTACTCTAAAAGTCTGTCTTTTTAAAACACAATGCTGTTTTTCAAATTTTAAATAAACTATATTTTAGAGAAGTTTTGGGCACACAGAAAAATTGAACAGAAAGTACAGACAGTTCTCATGTATCCCTTTATCCCCCCAAAACACAACCTTTTCACCCTATTGACACCCAGCACTACAGTAGTACATTAGTTACAACTGATAAACAAACCTACACTGACACATCATAATCACTCAAAGTCTATAGTTTAGTTTGTATTAGCGTTCAGTCTTGCTTTTGTATATATCCTATGGGTTTTGACGAGTATATGATAACATGCTTACACTACTGTAGCATCACACAGAATACTTCGACTGCCCTAAAATTCCTCTGGGCTCTACTATTCCTTCCTTCCTAGCCCCTAACAACCATAGATCTTTTAACTGTCTCCATTGCTTTGTGTTCAAGAGGTAAGTCAAGTATGTACAGAGAGTCAGGTGATTTCCAATCCAGCAGCAAAATGTAGTACAGCCCAGCCTAACATAAAGATGATATAGTGGGGAGGCAGCCTTATGTTTATTTTCTCTCAGAGAGTAGAGATATACTTGAGAATACCTTTTCTGGACTAATTTGTAACTTTCAAAGTGAAGATACAATCGTTAGACTCTAGAACTCTGTGTAAGGTGGCCGGGAGAAACAAGTAAGTAAACCTAACAAGCAGAAGTCATCAATGGACACAATATTCCCTATGCCCACTATCCTGTTCTACCTGTACCATTTAAGGTACCAGAAGATAAACATATGCAACCTGTAAGAAAGCAAAAAACAAACTGGAAATAATAAGACAAGAAGAAGAGCTATTTCCAGTGTCTGACGTATTTGTGAGATAAAGTAGTTTCTTATCTCCATTTCTGAAAGCCTGAATCCAATTACTTTTTAAAAAATATATTTATTTATTTTAATTAGTTTCAAGTATACAGTGCATTGGTTAGACATTTATATAGTTTATAAAACGATCCCCCTAATTGCTCCTTCTCTCTTCTAGTTTTCCACCTAGCCAATATATTAATGCTAGCTGCATTCCCTATGCCATGGTCCCCATCTCCGTGACCCCCTATTAACTACTAATTTGTACTTCTTTCACCCTTCGCCCCATTCTTCCAGCCCCCAACCCCTCTCCCTTCTGTCCATCACCAAATCCTCCAATTACTTTTGAAAACAACAACCCACGCAAGACAATATTAAATACCTCTTCTTTTTCTAATCACACACTTATCCCTTAACCCTTTGTCATCCAGCTCCCAATGAAACAATTCTTTGAAGGTCACTAATAATCTAAATGTTATATTCAATAGATATATTTCTATCCTTAATTTTTCATGTCTATAATTGGTCATTATTAATCATCTTTCCCTTTTTAAAAACTTTATATCCTATGGTTCTGTAACATTATGCTATCTTAATCTTCCTTCTACTTCTTTGAGTCTTCTTGTCTGCTTCTGATTTTTTCATCTACTATATTTTCCATAGGTAAATAACTACAAAGTGTTACTATAAAGTCTAATGCAATTCAGTATCTTTAGCCTCTTTTTGAACAAGCCAAGGACCTTAAGATTCTTTAACCAAATGCAATCAATATCTCTCCTCCTCTTTTAACTTTCTAGTTTTTTTTTTTTTTAGTTTTAGTTTCTGTTTAACCATTCACAAACAAGAAATCATGTCAATAAGTAATTAAATTAAATTTATGGACATGTTATCAAGTTCTGTGATTATTGTTTTTCCTATACCATACCTTCTTATTGGACTTACTAATATTACAGAGGCATATTCTATGATACTATTTTAGTGAGAGTCTATAGGTGGCAAACTCCCTTAAGTCTTTTTAAGTCTGAAAATATCTCCATTTCCCCCTCATTCTTGAGGGACAGTTTAATACCTACTTCTAGGTAATTTTTCTCCCTCAGCATTCAGAATGTATTGTTCCATTCTCTTCAATTTTTTTTCTTTTTTTGAGATGTTTGGAATTGCCTATTATAAGCTGGGTCCTTTCAGACACTCCAAGTCATGCAAGCAGGCAGCCCAAAAGAAATCCATCAAAAGATGAAAATAGTACATCTGGGACACCAAGCACAAGCAGAATTAGAGGGCATATGCAAGCTGCATGAGCAGGTAACCCATATTCCCACTCTATCCACAAAGTTTGCACTAGAACGCCATTCTCAACTCACACCAATGGTTATATGGGGGTTCTTGTATGAACAGCTAAAGGAGGAGGAAAAAGCCTGAGCTTTTATGGGTAGATTTATGGATGGGTTGGCTCCATAAGCAAGTACCGGTCAGAAATGGAAAGAGCTGAATGACAGCATCACTCAGCGTGTCCTTGAATGACAGTGAAGAGCAAGCAAAATTTTCTCAAAGGGTGAAACTTTGAGTTGTGCACTTAATGATCCACTTTGTGTGGAGCTCTATAAATTCCTTAAGGCTGAAAGCTATACAAAAGAGCTTTGAATTCTACTCCTCCATTATCCACTATTTTCAGTCAATATTTTTAGTTTTAAGATAACATAAAAATCAATTTTACTTATGCAAAAATGAGGTAGATTTTATGATAAGAATACAGGAATATTTTATATATTCCAGGGCAGGAATGAAAGCAAGTCAAAAAAATTCTAGAAACTGCAGTTGGAATTGCATCTAGACTGTTCTTCTTTCTCATCTATGTTCCTCTCTGAATGTATAACTTCCCCTCTCATTTTCCTTCCTTTTTCGATATTTTCTGCTTCTCTGCTAGACATGGTGTGTGGAAAATGGACAATCTATATGTTGCAAGATTTTATATGTATATAATAAGGTATGTCATGATCCAATATCTGAGAGACTGAATTTTTAAAGTTTGTTATACATATAGATTTCCATGTTTAAAAAAACACCAAAACAAACAAACAAACAAAAAACTTTAACTGGTCAGTTGGAATCTGGTGTCTAAAGTACAGAGTCATCTTACTCAAAAAGGTTGCTAGAGGCCTAGCCTTGACTTTCATGAAGAACCAGGTCTTTGTGAGATGAACATATAGGTATACTCTATTATCCTCATTGGTTTTCCAAGTTATCCAGGCTGAAAACCTCAAAATCAGCTATGACTCATTATTCTTTTTTATTTACTAATAGTTCTGTCACTAAAAGCTATTCCACTCCTTACAAAATTACTCTTTTATCTATTACATCTCCATTCCGACTGCCTTCATTGTTGGCCAAAATGATAGTTCAGAAAAAGGATATTTCATTACAATTAAATCTGCATTAACTACGGGTGAGGATAAACATTTTTCCCCCTTCATGTTATGGACTATTAGTATTTCCGCTTTATTGGTTTATGTTAAGGACTGAATTGTGCCTCCCCTCTCCCCTAAATTCATATGTTGAAGTGCTACCCTCCCCTCCCCAATGTGACTGTATTTAGAGACAGGGCCTTTCAAGAGGCAATTAAAGTTAAATGCAATCATAAAGGTGGAGCTCTGATCCAGTAGAACTGATTGTCTTATAAGAAAAAGAAACACTAGGAATGCTTGCACACATAAGGTAGGCCATGTGAGGACACAGTGAAAAAGTTATCTGAAAATCAAGGAAAGAGGCCTCAGAAGACACCAAACCTGTAAATACCTTAATCTTAGACTTCTAGCTTCTAAACTGTGAGAAAATAAGTTTCTGTTAAGCCACTCAATCTGTGGTATTTTGTTATGGCAGCCCTAGTTAACTAATACATTTTGCCTCTGCCTTCATGATCTGTTTTTTACTCTCTTCTGGTAAGCACTCTCTAAACATTAAGCTATTAGCCTTTTAAACAAATGTTACAAATATTTTTCCCAATTTATTTGCCCCCCCCACCTTATTTTGTTTTGTATACTGACTCCTTTTAGCGTACTCAAAATTTCAAAACTTTCCTTATGGTTGCTGCATTTGAAATTATGCTTAAAAAGTCCTTCCCAGTCCCAGAATTATATTTATATTCACTTACATTTTATTCCAATTCTCTTTTTTTGTCTCCTCTGAATTTTATTTTCAGTGTATGTTAAAATAGAGCCCTCTTTTTTATTTAGCTAATTATCCCTGTACCACTTATTCATTTTCCCATTTGAAATCTACTTTTATCATATCTTACATACACACACATAAAACTGCTCCTTTTTACTTATGACATCATTAATTCAATAATTCATTTTGGAGAGTATATTGTTCTACATTTATCTTTAAGGAAAAAGAATTCCCCACCAAATTCAAGAAATAATTTTAGGTGTCCCAAATTATTTTTAAAAATTTTAACATTTTTAAATTAAAATACTATATTTTTAGCCAATGATAAACATCAAAACACAAAGTTACTTTAACCCAGTGATAAGCCAATGAAGGATGGGAGAAAGTAAACCATCTTAGTTGAATTATTATACTAATCGAAAAGAAAAGAAAAAATGAGAGAGAAGAAAGTACATGAAGATCGTCAGTTGACTTTTTCAGGCTCCTTTCAAGATAACAGTTACCATTTTTTTAAAAAATATATATTCAAAATTTCTTTTCCCTCATGGGACAGAAGGGGTTTTTTACTTTTTTTTTTTTTTTACATACTTCGTGGAAAGAAAACCTGCCTATGAGGGCCAGCGGGTGGAGGGTTATGTTGTTCTCTTAAGAAAAGTGTATAGACAAGCTCTAAGTTGTATAGGCCAGCAATGTCCATGCTAAATGTACTGATACCGCTTGAGTCTCTGCTGTCCACATTCAAAGCCACAATTCCATGGACCTTTAGAAAATATTCGAGACTTGAAAATCATGCCAACGCTTTAGCTACTATCACTATGAGCCATCTATTATTTTCACTCAGCTTTCCATATGGCAAGCACTTTACAATGAAATGTATTATCAACGTGGCTTTCGAGACGATGAAAGCTGGATTTGATTCATAAATTCCCAAAACCAAACTGATAAAACGCAGTTCACCCCAACAGAAATTTCTTGAGAACCAAGCGGAACGGTAAAGTTAGAGACGACAAAGCTGGAAAAAAAAAATATTACAGACTCGCGTCGGAGAAAGATAAAAGCAATCCCACTCGGCTCTGCCTGGTTTCTCAGAAAAGTTTTCCAAGGTACGCAAGGCGCAGGGCCAAAGACGACGGTGGGCGTGGAAAGAACTCCTTGAGTGGGAGGCCGCAAAGCTTACTGAGATTTTTGAAAGCCGTAAAATAAAGATGTTAAAAACTATAACTACTCGCTCGGCCAACATCCTGTTAAGGAGCTGCGGCAAAATTCTCCACAAAACGTAGCTCGCACTCTCAAGCAGCTCCGGGACTTCCAGACCCCTCCCGGCATGCTCTGCGCCGAACATTAGCGATGCCTAGCGCGCTTTGGCCGCTTCGGCCGCCGTCGGCTCTGAGTTGCTGTAGAAACCCAGCTGCCATCACTATGTCGTTGCAACAGGCCTCTCAGTCGCGGGTGTTCGTGGAACTGGTTCCCTGGGCTGACCGGGGCCGGGAGAACAATCTCGTCTCGGGGGAAGATACGCTGCCCGGTCTCCGCCGTCCATTCTCCGCAGCACAGGCCCAAACAGTGTCTCGTGAGGTTCACGTAAGCGGCACCGCGGAGGTGGCTGCAAGTCCCGACCGGGCGCAGGTAGCAGTGCGCATCAGCAGCACCAAGGAGGCGGCGGCCGAGGTCAAGAAGAGCGTTTGCCGCCGCCTGGACTACATCACGCAGAGCCTCCAGCAGCAGGGTCTGCAGGTGAGAGCTCTGCTGGGGCGAAGGCTCGAGCCGTTCCGCAAAACCCAGATCGCCGAGGTCCGGCCCCGAAGGCCCCTGGAGCAGGGATGGAGGTGCGGAGGGTCTTGAGCATCCGGGACACTTTAGTCTGCCTCATTGGTATTACCGGGTGCCAGGACCTGGCAGAGTGAATCTTTGCCCCATCCTTCTTCTAGATGAAAATAATTATTGGCCGCAGTCACTTGTAGAATAAGAGACTACAAATCGAATGGGATTTTATATGGCTATATTTGCTGCAGTAATTTTGTTTTTAACCTTGAAATGAATTGTTAAATTTGAAACATTAGATGTAAATGCTTGCCTAAGTAGTGTTCTAGACACTAATCACTTTTTGTTTTTATTCTGAACCATGGAATTGACAAGTGAAAAGCATGGCCTGCTTCCTTCCAACCATGTAAAGCTTTGCATGGAGTGGTTTTTCAGTATTTTTGCAAACAGTAATATATGTGGGTGTGGGGTGGGGAAGAAGTAATCCTCTTTCTTTTTATAAAGACTTAAATGTTATCTCCAGATTTTTTAATTTTAAATTAAAAAAAAATTAAGTCAGTATATTGTAGACGTCCCATTATTAAATACCTCTACTTACCAGAAATGTTCATGAAACAAATCACTAAATAAATCTTATCTTAAGCCTACTTCTAAGAAAAAAAAAGAAAAAAAATGAACTAGCCTTATTTAATCCGTACAACTGCCCCGTTAGGTTTTTATATCCCCATTTTCCAAATATAAAGATGTCAGATATTGCTCTGAGCTTCAGCCAGGGCGGTATTTGACCTGCTGGACTCCTGAAACCAAAATCTAGGTGGTTCTAACTATGCTAGGGGGCTCCAGATAATTAGAATGAAAGAAAATTAGAAACCATAGAATGGGTCAACTATCTCCTTTTTTGCAGAGCAGGACTCTAAAGGCCAGAGTGCTTTATCCAGGGTAACACTGAATTCAGAAAAGTGCTTACAGTTTATTGTTAGAACGGATGCACCCCCAAAAAGCAAGTATTTATTTTAAGGAGAAAATATATTTGTACTGCATTTACAGTTATTTAAAAAGTCATTTGGAAAGATGTCTCTGAATGATCTTACAGTTTAGAAAAATTCAAGTGCTAATTGGAATAATGTGAATAAAGAGAGTTTAATATGTTTAATATGTAGAAAAGTATTTCCTCAAAAAACTACCAGTGCTTCAGTACAGTTTGAATAATATAACTAATTCTTAAGCTATTTACATAAAATGTATCCTATACTCACATGGCTATAACTTCTAATATGTAAAACAAAAAATTATTATGTCCAGGTTACAGTTAAGATTACATTGATTCAGTGTCCCAGTCAAGACATACAAAGGTCAGTTCTCTCCCAGTTATGTTTGATAATGATCATATATAGTCATTAGAGCATTTGTTCAGTAGTTAGTGCAAAAAATCATTTATATTTGCAAAACGAATTATAATGGGTCTTCACAAAGTCTGTTCATTTTAAATTTTGGGATCTTTGATTTATAAACATCACTCCTCTGCTTACAGGGCTCTTCTTGTTCCAAACTCATTTCCTTAATAGTCTGGAACTATCATTTCCAGACATCTTTCTCACCTGGTTGACTTGCAGACTCCCACTTTTTTTCCTTTAAGAACCAGCGCAGATTCACCTCCTTGGCATTCCTTTCCTAACTTAACCCTGTCATGCCATACTCCACCTTATCACTTTGTATTATAGTTGTTGCTTTACTTGTCTCTTCTCCGTATTCTAAACCTCTTTAGAGCAGAGACCATTTTATCTCGTTTGCTTTGCATTCAGGGGTTATGCGTCATACACATCACATAATGTATACTCAGAAAATGGTTTCTGAATGAATAAAAGAAAAATAAATGAAGCACTAAATGAATAAACTATTAGTTCAAATATATTATAGATCATATGTAGTTTTATGATCATATATAGTTTCACATGTTTTCATGGGCAAATGTTTTAAAGTTTTAAGCAGTATTTACTCATTGAACCATCAAACATTTATTAGGCATTCCTTACCACTATTCATTTTTAAATAGCACTTAACATGATATGTAATTATTTTGTTCTCTGGTTTGTTCATTCCTCCCATAGGTTGTAAGCTCCATTATTTACCTACTCATAATTGTATTATTTTTTTCGATAAATGTGCAGTGGATGCCCCATCATGTTGCTAGGCACCAGAAATAGAGAATGAATAAAACTTAGGCACTTTACTGAAGGAGTCTTATTATAGGAATAGACAAATATATAGTTAAGTGTTATAGTGAAAGTATATACATGATATAATACAGTAGAGTAAGAAAAGGAAGTAATTTTCATTTCAATTGAGGAATTCCAGAAAGTTCATAATGAAAGTGACACCAGTGTCAAATCTTAAAGAGTGGCTGAAGGGAAAGCATTCCAGTTTGACACTAGAATGCAGGAAGTATATGGTTTCAAAGCACTTTATGCAGTTCACTATGACTAGGACACAGGAATACATAGAGAAAATGGAGGGGAATCAAGAGATAAGACTGAAGAAAGCTGTAGGAGGAACATGGAGGAAGCCTTGTCTGCCATACTGAGGAGTCTGGATATTATCGATAATAAAACTGCTAAACCTTTTACAAATGAGACCCACCATATGAGACTGGTAGTTCAGTTGCCATTTTACAGATGAGAACTCCCAGGACCAGAGCGATTATTGGCAAGTAGCTTGCCCACGGTCACAAAGCTAGGAAGTGGCAAAGTTTAGGATCCAGTCAAGAAATTTGACCTCAAAACCCATACATACTCTTAACCGTGATAGTATGTTGCTGCTTTATTGTTCTTGGCAGTAGTTGAGTGAGTTTTTAAGTAGAGGATGTAGCAGATGCTATTGATACCCCACACTGTATCCCTTGCCACTTCACATTTATGTGCATGCAGTTCCATCTGCCAATGCTTGTGAGTTTTTTGCCAGCTTTCCCTGGCTGCAAGAAGCCACTCTACTTACAAGTGGGCCAGCCAGTTAGTGCCAAAGAATTAACAGTCCCCCACCTTTTGCCCCCCGTTTCAGCACCTTTCAACTAACAGCTGAGGGACGTGATGGAAAGAGACCCCAGATTCTTCACCCGTTGGGCAGGATCACACGTTGGGTAGGATAATCTGTTAGGCAGGCATGTTTCTACCCTGGTTCTCAGAGTTTATTTTCAGGAATAAGTTCTTGTTGCCTATAGTGGTGATTGCTTGACAACATACCCTTTAATGACTTTCTTTCCTTCTCCATTCATTTCTCATTCCACTATGGTATTTCTTGGAATCATCTTAAAAATTAACTGCTTATACTCAAATCCTTGTCTCAAAAGTCTGTTTCTGGGTATGCCTAAATTAAGATAGAGAGTAGTAGAAACAGATTGAACATGTCATATGAGCTGACTTCAGTTTTTCATTGCTAAAAATGGTGACAAATGAATATCCTTGTTGCTAGGTATTTATACATGCTATTAATTATATTCTTTGGACATTAATTTCTGGCTTACATGTATTTTTAAGGCTTAGGAAAAATTACACTCTAGGAAGATTATGTCTTCACCAGAAATATATCCTTGGTAAAATGCTCATTATTTTCTCCTTTAACTTTGTAAATCCAGTAGTCAGAAACTATTAGTTTTTTCTTGTTTTACTTTTTTGAACATTTGAGGTTAAACTTTTTTTCATGTAAATTGCCAATTTATATACTTTCCTCTTTTTTCTATTGTCTTTTCTTTATTCATTTATGGGAACTTTCAAAATTAAGATTATTAATAACTCATATTGCAAAATTTTTCCCAATATCATACTTGTAATATAACTTTGTTTACAGTGTTGAACATTCAAAATGTTAAAGATTAGTCAAATTCATTATTCTTTTTCATATGTTTTTGCCTTTGGTGTAATTCTTACTGGATCCTTTCCAAGCCTAAAGCTATAAAACCGTTAACTAACATTTCCTGGAATCTTTAGGGTCCCTTTATAGTACATTATATATTTGACATGTTTGGAATTTATTTTGGTATAAAGAGAAAGGTTTTGTTTTCTCCTAATGGGTAAGTCACTGTACTGAAATCATTTATTGAAGTCTGTCTTCTCCTGAATATGCAAAAACCTATCTCAAACTGCATTTAAAAATAAAAATTATTGGTTTACATAACCTGAAATTCAAGTTTTAATGTGGACTTCAGATATGCAGTGGCCAGAGCTCTGTTTTGATGTAGTTCTCTTGGCTTTGCCTGCAGCTTCCTGTATAATACCAAAATGGGTGCAACATATCCAAGCCTTACAGCACATACTATACAATAAAGAGAAAGACAGTAGTTTTTATTTCCTGCAACTACATAAAAATAAAAATTCCTATAGTTCACTCTCTATGGACAACCTAAACTTTTCTTTGTGGACAAAGAAATGCAATCTACTAATTAGCTTAGCTTTGAATTTCTACCCATTTTTTAACAATTCTTTGGCAAGTTAGATGTGGTCATTCTGAATGGTTTAGACCTATTAGGGCTTACCTTGAACCACTTACTTGCTGCTCAGAGAAAGTAGGAACAGATTGTATGACATTAGGATTCCATATTGCTTGTTGTGCCTATCTCTTTGAAATGTTACTGATAGTATATTTGTAATATTCAAACATTAGTCGATCAGTTTTAGAATAGTACTAGTTCTTTTGATCCTTATTATGTTCCAGTATTAGTACCACATTGTTTAAAGTACATTTTTGTAAGTACATTTTGCCATTTGTAGGGCAAGTTCTCCCCTCATTACCCTTCTACTGAAAACATTTGCTGTCTGCAAGGGACATATTAAATGACACCATGGGAGTACAATCAGAAAATCCAGAAGTGGAAAATTCTAAAGTCCAAATAAAACTTCTGTTCATATTTTGCATTTTTTATAGATTAATTTCAGGAGAATTGCTGATTTTACAGTGCTATGTCCTAGTCCATTCAAATATTT